GATCTGAAGACTCCATCGATGGCCTAAAACCTAAGCAGAATAGCAATGAAAGTCGAAAACTGAAGCGAAAGAATCGTAACGCCAGTCATACGTGAAGTTTTGCTAAATATAATAGTAATAAATAAGTGTTTCTTTTGCTATAAATGTGTATAAGTCTTAAATATATTTTTATTAACATTATATCCGTTTCGTTATAAATACGAAGAAATTATATTTTATGAATCGTTGAGACTTTATGTGACACTAAATCCAGGCGTTTCTGGTATTTGATGCCAAACGACTCGTTTGTCCACACATTACAGTCTAATGATTGCGCCATTACTTGAGATGTGTTTTGAATTCAATTGGTTTGAGACTTCCATTTAATACATTGAAACTATCTTTAATTTAGTTTTATTTATATTGCCATCAATTTATTGCTTATATTTATTGTAAATTTTCAGTACATTTATTAAATTTTAGACATTTCTTGATTACATTTTTTTATACCAATAAACGATTATATTTTTCATTCAAATGAGTCTTTAAGGAAAATTGTAAGTTAGAAAAACTGATTTATTTATGTGTAAAAGTCTTGACAATATATTTTTTCAAGTGAGCCTTCATTTGGGATAATATTTGCTGAGAGTATCGAAAAGGAAGAGTGAATTGCACTTTACGTCGGCTCTACTCGACATCCATTAACTGGAAATGTAATATATTTGTCGCATTCAAGTGTTTATTAGTGCTCACGGTTTACAGTATTTGACACTCATTTCGCTCATTGCCTTCAAATGTTGAAAATACTTTATTATAGAGAGAGAAAAAGTTATTAAAACTCATAAATCTTTAGTAAATCTAATGACGATATTGTCATTTGTTATAGACGTCTGAATCCCATATTTATTGTAATGAATAATACATAAAATAACTGATTATAAGCAATGTGTTTATGAATGGCTCATCATTTTCCCGGAATAATAGAGAATATTTTATTAATAGATTAATTGTTATTATTGTATGGAAATCCCTATAATATAGGATCAGTCATTACACAGATGGTGTAAATCACTTATGAATGCAATAATTGTTATTGACATTTGTTCAATAATAATAAATACTAGTCATATAATCAATTACATAGTAGTGTACTGTATAGAGAATTGAAATATTCTTATCACTTTATTCCGACAACATTTTAGCGAATATTTATTTAATATTTAATAAGCGAACACTTTATTGATTNATCAAACTTTGTCTTCACATTTTCCTATAGAATCTCTTAATTGGTAATATATTTGTGTGAATTTTCGCACATTTTCCACATTGAAATTGTTTTCATCAAACATGAAGACCTGGTTGTCGTCGATCTCAATCTCATTGCTGATCATAAACATCAATCCGTTTTGCACTTTATTTACTTCGTCTAAATTGAGTCCATTTATATCGACTTCCATTCCGTCCTTTTTCGGGGTATATATAAAACTCAATAAATCTCTTTTAGACTCAATTTTGATTGAGTTTTTACTATTTTTGGTGATTTTGATCTTAATCTTTGTGGGATTCACTTCGGCTCTGATCTCAATGAGTTTGTTGACGAGTCGGAAATAGTTAATAAAATTGGTGTTCACGTCATCGTAACCGCAATTGAGGGTCATTTGATCCAAATCTTTACGTTTGGATATATTTTTAATGAGATTTATTGCGATATAATTGAAGTGAAAGTTTACAAAACTCGGCGCCTGTTTGAGAAACAGACAGTTGCGGAACAGATTAATCCGATTGGGAATCAAATTAATAACAAACACTCTTTCTTTTGAGTCAACGGACACTTTGTCGATCTCTTTGGTTATTAAACCCAAAACCCAACTATTGGTAACATATAACCGCATGTTTTCGTTAAATCAGAACTCTAGCAGCTACCTTCACCACAACTCCGTCCGCAACCGTAGCCAACTCTCCGTTTCAAGCACAAGCAACACTGGTTTGAGCAGTTATAATAAGTAGCGATTTATAACCGTCTTCTCTGACGTTAACTTTTTGATTCGTTTTCCAATGTTCTCTATAATGAGTTTCTCCACATCTATGTAGTGATAGATATAGGAATCGTCGGCATTCGTGTCGTTATTCAATTGAAGTAATTCCCAAATAAACTGTCCCTTATTAGAGCCCGAACCACCTAAACAACAATCATCAATCATTTTTTGCAAACACTTTCTTATAATGTAATATAGATATCGCATATACTTATGATAAATAACTTTTTTAGAAATATAATTCCTATGTATTGCATATCTTACACAAAAGTTATGCACAACTTATTCATAGCATAAAAAATTCTAATATAATTCAGTTTATAAAGCAATGCATTGACAAAGAAATAAAATTAATGACAAAAAAAAGTATTCATAAAACAAATTAATGAATTAAATATGAGAATAAGAGACGACGAGAACATTGAAATGTATGGATAATAATAGAGTAAATATACAAACCGAAAATGAAGATACATTTGGGATTGGGATTGTCGTCATCAGTGAAATATGCGTTGAGATTATGGATGTCTACGATCTGTATATTGAAAGATGAAGCACCTCTTGTGGTCTCAATGAAGCGTTTATGAACTTTGCTGATCGCACAGCCCATTGTCTGTCCGCTCTCTCACCACCGGTGGCACAAAGATGTCTCTAAATCGAGTCCGCATTATCGATGAGCGCCAACATAAGTGTCTGATCCGCGAAGTCTTTCTTTTTCATTTGAATCAATAAAAAGATAACTATTGTGTCATTTGTTGAGCTCTCTATCACTTAAATTCATTGCCGTATTATATAAAAGCATTTTCCAGTCGCGTATTAGACGGAGAGACAGAATTTTATTCACTGGTTGTCTGAATGCCTATTGGAAAATGTATAGCATATACGCGGTTGAGTAGTACACTATACGACACATTTCATATACCAATACAGTATATGATTTGCTCAGACAAATGTTCACTAGAGTTATGGTTTGGATCGATAGCTCGGATCAAAAGTTAAGTGAAGAATACAGAGATTATCACCCAATAGAAGACACACATGCGGTTTGAGTTGCTATTTGTTTGCATACCGTTTCCCATAGAAAATCAAATCATTAGTTTATAGACTCTTTTTATTTGTTTTAAGAAAATGAATTAAAAATGCAAATCAATAAAGTGTTCGCTTATTAAATATTAAATAAATATTCGTTAAAATGTTGTCGGAATAAAGTGATCAGAATATTTCAATTCTCTATACAGTACACTACTATGTAATTGATTATATGACTAGTATTTATTATTATTGAACAAATGTCAATAACAATTATTGCATTCATAAGTGATTTACACCATATGTGTAATGACTGATCCTATATTATAGGGATTTCCATACAATAATAACAATTAATCTATTAATAAAATATTCTCTATTATTCCGGGAAAATGATGAGCCATTCATAAACACATTGCTTATAATCAGTTATTTTATGTATTATTAATATTCATTACAATAAATATGGGATTCAGACGTCTATAACAAATGACAATATCGTCATTAGATTTACTAAAGATTTATGAGTTTTAATAACTTTTTTCTCTCTATAATAAAGTATTTTCAACATTTGAAGGCAATGAGCGAAATGAGTGTCAAATACTGTAAACCGTAAACTAATAAACACTTGAATGCGACAAATATATTACATTTCCAGTTAATGGATGTCGAGTAGAGCCGACGTAAAGTGCAATTCACTCTTCCTTTTCGATACTCTCAGCAAATATTATCCCAAATGAAGGCTCACTTAAAAAAATATATTGTCAAGACTTATACACATAAATAAATCAGTTTTTCTAACGTTTGAATTTTCCTTAAACACTGATTTGAATGAAAAATATAATCGTTTATTGTTATCAAAAAATGAAATCAAGAAATGTCTAAAATTTAATAAATGTACTGAAAATTTACAATAAATATAAGCAATAAATTGATGGCAATATAAATAAAACTAATTTAAAGATAGTTTCAATGTATGGAAGTCTCAAACCAATTGAATTTAAAACACATCTCAAGTAATGGCGCAATCATTAGATTGTAATGTGTCCAAACGAGTCGTTTGGCATCAAATAGCAGAAACGCCTGGATTTAGTGTCACATAAAGTCTCAACGATTCATAAAATATAATTTCTTCGTATTTATAACGAAACGGATATAATGTTAATAAAAATATATTTAAAACTTATACACATTTATAGCAAAAGAAATACTTATTTATTACTATTATATTTAGCAAAACTTCACGTATGACTGGCGTTACGATTCTTTCGCTTCAGTTTTCGACTTTCATTGCTATTCTGCTTAGGTTTTAGGCCATCGATGGAGTCTTCAGATCGAGCGAAACCCGTCTTTTGCATTGTCTTCACTTTTTCCTTAAACTTTTCGATATCTATTTGCGAAGCGTTTGACTCTTTAGTGGTTTGCGCTTCCGATGACTCTTTGGGCGGAACGAATGGTTCGCTTCGCTTCTCCTGTCGTCGCACTTCTGCGGCCACTTTATTGTCAAATTTGTCTTTCATTTTCCTGGCCTTCCGTTGGCTATCATTGAGGAAATACTCTCCAGAAGCCAATTGTTTATCAATTTTACTCTCCGTTTGTTGCGGAGGGAAAGGCGTGTACTCTTTGTTGGCCTTATTTGTGATAACTTTCGGTTTCAAGCGTTTCGAGAGATTCTTTGACTTATAATGGGGTAGAAATCGGTCCCAATTCTGGTTCTTAAGCTCCGGGTCTTTCGCTAATTCTCTTTTAATCATAAGTGCCTTAATATTATAGACGGGATGAATGTTCTTCATGGTGTCGACCACTATTTTGCGCACGTGTTGCAGACCTTTGTGGGGCCCGATGGCCGACACAGTGGTTCCCTGCACTAAGACATAGCAATTGGTCAACAGTTCGATGGCCTTAAGCGTGGATCCGTTGGGACCGACCAGACGTTGCCGACGCTTAACGAAACGCTCCTTATTTCTGACCAAAGAACCGATTTTAATGATATCACAGGCGGTGTCGTCGGCCAACACTTTGATCGCCTGTTCGTAGGGAACGCTTCTCGACAACAATTTGATGACATCGCGGGCTTTGATGATGACATAGGGATCCCATGTCTGGCGAGTGGTGGCCACAGTCAGTGAGCCCTCAATCAAATCCATTTCACACTTCACTTCGCATTCTTTGAGCGCATTCTTCAGGAGTGGAAAGCATTCAGTGATGTATTTCTCGCGATATTTGGGGAAAAGTGTGGCGAAAGAGCTCTCAACCAAAATGCCCGACGGGTTGTCCTCTTTGGTGAACTTCGGGATCTCTATAGACCACGGATTGGACACAAACTCCTCTAAGAAATACAAGATTGTTAATTACTCACCTAGGCTACCACACCTGTTGGTAAAGTAGTTTACGAATGGCGAAAGATTGCTAAACCTGTAATGAAACACCAGGCTGAGTTCGCTCGCTAGTTACTTAAACTTACGTTTGTTCAAATCAATTAAATTATGGCTTAAATTGTGTTTCAAAAGAGATAACCATTTATTGAAAACATTTCACAATTGGTATAAAAAACGTGACTTTTTTTGTGCACACATTTAAAGTGTGTTTATTTCAACACTAGTGGTGAACATAATGTTGAGCTCAACACTAGTTTTGGGCCAATAATCAACTTTTTACATAAAATGCATATTAAAAATCACTTTTTCGGTTACTATTACTTTAAATTAAAAGTTTTAATTAAATTACGGCTAAATTACTGCTACGATATTCATATGGGGCTCAGTTTGGGGGCCAATAAAGGGGGCAAACACTAGGCAAAGCTTGAGCCGAGTGTTTGGTCACCACTAGTTTGGGCTTTAAATATGGATTTAAATGGAAAAACACATTTCCAGTGATTGTCTGCCTCTTAAATACAGTGCAACCCATTTATAGCCAACACATTATTGTTACCAAAAAACGGAAATTACTTTACGATTGTATTGTAAACAACGGGAAAACAAAACACATAAAAAGGGGCTTAAATGGGGACATATAGTGGACACACCATACGATTGGTCAGTCATTACGGCCACAATTAAAGCCGTGGGTCATAACAAGTGATCGCCGCCTGTATTGTGACCTCAAAGCGTTGCGCGCAAACGCCACTCCAATTGGCGGTACAGACGGCGTACGCGCGCTGTAGACCATTGCAGCGCTTATCGTACGTAAAGTGTCAACAAAAAAGTGTTGGCAAAACATTGAGTACGTGAGTGTCGGACGCAGTTATTGCGCACTTTTGGTATTGTGTGCGCCGTTTGTCGTGTCCTTTATGTGTGGCTCTCTCTCTCTGTGCCTCTCTCTCTGTCTCTCTCTCCCTATGTATGCCTTTAACGGCTGTGTATTGTATATTGTAATGCATTGTAGAGCACAAGCCATACACTGAACGCCTGCACAGACTGTGAATATGTGGTGTTGTTTGCAGTACTGATCGTCAGTATTATTATTATTGCTGTTATTATAGAGCGAACGGCGGATACGATATACGGGTTGTNTATATTGTAATGCATTGTAGAGCACAAGCCATACACTGAACGCCTGCACAGACTGTGAATATGTGGTGTTGTTTGCAGTACTGATCGTCAGTATTATTATTATTGCTGTTATTATAGAGCGAACGGCGGATACGATATACGGGTTGTGTTGAGTGACACACAAGTGATGTCCACACGAATGACTCAAACACACCATCAAAGCCCGCATCGCATCCCACGAGTGGTGACGACTGAGCGACACAACCAATACATCCAATTGTAAGTAATGGCTAACAATGGCCTGCAATGGGGGTGTAGTGTATGTGTGCTCTATATGTGGGTCACTATATGGAGGGCCCCACCGAATAGGCTGACCAACGGTTGGCCAACAGCTGGTGTGTTGTTGTGCCCCAAGTGTTGGGTAATTCCCGATTTGAAAGCCATTTCTTAAATGGGTTTTTGTTTTTCCCCAAACAAACAAACGACTCGTATTGGCGTTTGAATGCCATTGAGAATACAATTTACGGCTTTTATCCTTAAAAATACTCGTTTTTGCGTAGCCTTTGGTTAGCTTTTGGTTTGTAATGCATTTCTATTGATATAATTGTTGCCTAAATCTAAGGCCCGATATCTACTAAACGCAGACATCGGTTGCCGTTGTGTTGTTTGGGTGGACACACACTACACTCCCAGCCCTTTAACCCCTATAGACATACTTATGGCCCGTATTTAATGTTGTCGTGAATACTAATGTTTTGATATTTGTATGTTTAGGTGATCAGTGGTGGGCATTCCTCGTGAGTGTCGATGGCGCCGGCGACGTCAAAGACGAGTTCCTCTAACAGTGAGGGGGACTACCAGTTGGTTCAACACGAGGTGCTTCAGTCCGGATCCAATCACTACGAGGTGTTGGAGTTCTTGGGCAGAGGAACGTTCGGTCAGGTGACCAAATGCTGGAAAAAGGGCACCAATGAGATCGTGGCCATTAAGATCCTGAAGAATCACCCGTCGTATGCACGACAGGGACAGATCGAGGTCTCCATTCTTCACCGACTCAGTCAAGAGAATGCAGACGAGGTTTGTATTGCCGACGATATGACCACTTGATGGTCGCTTTACACCATTGACTGACCGATTGATTGCTTGTGTTTGTAGTGGAACTTTGTTCGGGCGTTCGAGTGCTTCACGCATAAGAATCACACGTGTCTTGTGTTTGAAATGTTGGAACAGAATTTGTATGACTTTCTTAAGCAGAATAGGTTTAGTCCGCTTCCACTCAAGTATATCCGTCCGATTCTACAGCAAGTGTTGACCGCATTGCTTAAACTTAAGGTATGTCTTATTCATGAGTTTTTTTCCCTTTAATTGTTTTTATTTGTTTTGTCGCGAATAAGACGTGAAAAACACTCAATGAAATTGATTTTGAGGATAGTTTGCGAAGAGATTAGACTCTCTATGACTCGTTTGCCATTTAATGATATTAGGGTTAGTTTGTAATGAAAGTGTTGTCAGACTTTTGACATTAAATGGTTGTCTGATAAGTGAGAGGGAACTCAATGGGGAAACTTGTTTAGAAATGAGTGAAACTAATTCATAGGCAAATCTCACAAATCACTTATGATCTCTCAAACCATTTCATTAATTCATATATCATTTAATTTCAATGAAACTTGGGTTTGCTTTTGGTTTTAATCGTTTTTCTCAATTGCTTTTCCATATTATTGATAATTTTTTATTTTAGAGTGAAATATAGCGCACATATTAATAGTAAACACAAAACATGTTTGCATTTAATTTAAAAATAAGTTTTGAAATAATAAAAACTAAAATGTCATAAACGCTGAATTGAGCACTTTTGAGACATTGATGAATAATTAATTGTTTGGTTTTGACAGCAACTCGGGCTCATTCACGCCGACCTCAAGCCAGAGAATATAATGCTTTGCGATCCCGTGAGACACCCGTTTCGGTATGTGTTGTATATTTAGTGTGACATTTGTTAAGCAAATTGATGATTATATGGATGTTTTGGCATTAATAGCGTGAAAGTAATTGATTTCGGGAGCGCTTCGCACACAAGCAAAGCTGTTTGCTCTACTTATCTACAGTCCCGATACTATAGGGCGCCTGAGATTATATTAGGACTTCCATTCTGGTTAGTAATGGCACACATTTGATTGACATTTACAATGAATTTAATTAAATGTCTTGATTGGAAACAATAGCGAAGCGATCGATATGTGGAGTCTGGGCTGTGTTATCGCCGAACTATTCCTCGGTTGGCCACTATATCCGGGCTCTTCAGAGTACGACCAAATCCGATACATCAGTCAAACGCAAGGCCTTCCCAACGAGCATATGTTGAATCAAGCGTCCAAAACGACGCGTTTCTTCTATCGCGAAACCGACTCTAACTATCCGTTTTGGCGCATCAAGAGTCCGGACCAACACGAGTCCGAAACGAACATCAAGTCGAAAGAGGCGCGAAAGTATATATTCAACTGTCTGGACGATATGGGACAAGTGAACGTTCCCACCGACATCGATGGCGCAGAACTGCTCGCCGAGAAGGCCGACCGACGCGAGTTCATAGACCTATTGAAACGTATGCTTACCTTAGACCAGGAGAGGCGCATCACACCCGGCGAGGCTCTCAACCATAACTTTGTGTCGCTCAACCATTTGGCCGAATACGGCCACTGCAAGAACGTGCAGAACTCCGTCAACAAGATGGAGGTCTGCCGGCGGCGAACGGTCGCCACGAACAACAACTACGACCACAACAGTAACCATCAAATGACGACAATTATGAATAACTTTACCTCTTCGGGAAACGTGACGCTCTCTTTCAACAACCAGTTGTCGGGTCTGTCCAACACTGCCTATCAGTTGCATCCCAACGTCTATCCGAGCGCCGCGTCTCTTACCTCATCGCAGGCCGCGTCTCGACTGTCTAGCACTCAGAACAGTCGAGCGGCGAACCAATACGCGGCTGCGGCCGCTAGAGCTGCGGCTGTGGCGGCCAATAGTGACCCATTCGGACAGTACGCTTCCATCTTATGCCCGGCCGGCGCCTATCAAAGTCTTAACTCTCCGGCCAAACACGTGATGACAATGGCAGCTGCCGTGGCTGGCGCTCAGGCCGCACAGTCACAGGGCGTTCAACTCCAACCGCCTCTTCTCACGCAAGTGGGGGCCACTCAACAGTACGTTCCCGTTTCGGTCGTCGAGCAAAATGGCCGACAAATGTTGTTAACGAATGCGGCCGCTGTTCAGTCCGGATGGCCAACCCATCGGCAGATGTTTGCAGCCGTTCCCACCACTTGGCAACAGTTCTCGACGGCAACGGGCGGTCGTCTACAACAGCCGACCGCCGCTGTGCTCTCGGACTCAGACGCGTGGAGTCGTTCGTTAGTATTGGAGAGAACGGCTATACTTCCGGACCAAACGGCAGTCCTTCCCATGGAATTCCACGACCCGTCAGTTTACGACCACTTGAGAAACGAACGCAATCTTATTCAACAGCAGTCCAACGCCTTCTCAGGTGTGGGACAGCCGTGGGGTGTGATGTCGTGCGGACAGCCGTCCAACGCTCACCAGTCGTCGCACTACTCGTCGAACGCCAATTTGGTTCCGACACAAAACGCCACTATTTTGGCGGCCATTTCCAGTTCGAAGCGAAACACCGGGTCTTCAATACAACCCAAGTCTATGAAATCTAAAGAGCATTTGTCTCCCGTCAAGAAGCGCCTCAAAGAGTCGTCTCCACCCAAATGGCAGGACTCGCTGTTGGGCCGACACGTGGAGTCCGGATACGGGGGTTCAATAAATCTGTGCACTTCTAGTGACAACACTCCCAACGCGACCGACGAAAACAAAAACCTGAAAAAGGCGTCAATCGTTCGCAACGCTTCTCTTAAGACACACCAAACGATCACAATAGAGGACACGCCTTCGCCCGCCGTCTCTGTTATCACAATCAGTGATTCCGAAGACTCGAACGAACGCTCGCCCGTCTGGTAAGCCATTCATGTGTTTGTTATGTACTGTATTTGAGTTGAATTTATTGAAATGATGATTACAAATGGGACGTAATTCTGATTGCTATGCAAATGAAGTTTCATTTATCTGATTAATTAAATAATTGTCATTTGAAGTGAAATTGGATTCAAATTAATTGAATAAAATGTTAATTTAAATGAAGTATTTAACAGACTTTGCTTTTGACACTAAAATCAATCTTCACTTCTATCTCTAATTTTTTCAATTACTTATTTGGCGATTAAATTATTTTTTATGCTTTAATTAATTATAATACTGTATATAATTAAGACATTAGTTTTATTTTATTTATTATAATTTGAATCCAATTAAATTTAAAGAGCAATTATCAAATGAATTTGAAATATTATTTTCTAAACACTTGTTTACCTATAATTAACAATACATTAAATGAATAGTTATAAGAACTCATCCGTGAAACAACTGGAGACGACATTAAAGCCGACGCCTATAGTGTCTCAGAATAACTCAGTGTCGACGACGTGTGCGAGTGTTATAGCCCTCACCCCAGAGGACAATGAAGACTGCGTCCGATACAGTGGCGCGCCTTCCAGTCACAACTCCACTCCTATCAAATCCCAAGTGTTCGACAACTATAGACACCATTCAAACCGAGGTCTAAGTCACTCGCTATCGACGTCTGCCATCACGAAGACTCCCAGAATTGACATCAATTGCTTCACTTTACCCGACTCTGACTCGGAAGGCAATCACAGTCCTCTGCGACCGCTGCCCAACTTTACCAACTCTTTGATGTCGAAACTCATAAAACCCGAACCACACAAAGACAACATCGTCTCCAGTTCTTCGCTGTCAGACGTCTCCAAAGCCGTCAATCAGTTGTCAAACGCGTCGCAGAAGAAGCGACTGTTGGCGAAGGCTCAACAACAGGCGCACCTCCAGAGCCTTCAAAACTTTCATAATCTGAAACAAATACCGCAGATTCGTGTCGACAACTTCTCCATCCCTGCGACCAAACAAGAGGTGCTTTCCAGCGAAGACGAGGACTCGCTCTCCGGTCGAGTCAATTATCTGAGCTCTCAGTCATATCAGAGCAACACTTCCAACAGTAGACGTTATAACGACGCCGTGAATGCACAATACGCTCGTCACTCGAAGCTCGAGAACTTGGAGGGCGAGAAACTGATCAAATGTGCCGTCAGTCCCAATAGGGTATGACTTCCTCTCACATTAATCATCAATCTATTTATGCATCTCTTTTGCCCCTCTATTGTCATAAGTGTTTACTAATCCTTATAAGTATTTACTCCTGTAATGCATTCAATAATGAAACAATTGAAACACAATAAGTTTTATACCAGTGTTTATACTAGTTTTGTGGTGCAAATCAAAGCGAACCCGGTTTTGATGTGTTGTTTTTGTTGAGCGTCTCTACGTAACCGACTATAGAGTGGTAACTGTGAGCTCAAGGTTTAGTTGTTATTGTTTATTGCTTGAGTCGGTTTCGTCAATACTAGTGTCGACAGTCTTTTTATTGTTTGTTTAATTTATTACAAGTGAATGCATTGCACACAAAATGGCTGTCAATTGTTGTCACAGTTTGAATATTGGTTTTTGAAAAATGAATGCCTTATTCAATAGGATTTGATGACTAGAAGTGGTTTAGTTTTGCCATTCATGCCATTCCCAGACACATAAGAACCGTTAGATTTGATGCCATCTCTCTATTTATAACATACACTACATATTGTATATCTATATTAGTTATGCGGCAATAGTTATATATCGTTGATAGCGTGACACACATTATAATTGCAACTTTGTTTTTGTAGCTATTATTTGCTGAAATAGCACTCGTTATTCACTAAAATAGTCAACCATTTAGACAGACAAACGTTTTCCCCATTTATTTCGATACTACATATTGTAATCATGTATTGAATTGAGTTTTGCATCTCTTGATCGCAAAACAACATTAAACTAATGCTATTATTATTGGGTTTTTGTTGTTGTTGCCAAACAACTAACAGTAATCTATCACAATATTCAGAATATTTATTTATAAATATAATACCAAAGCATAATATAAATGATATTCAGATAAGTTAATAGAGTTTATGTCACGAAATTAATTTGAATTTCCTTTTTAAACGCCATTACGTCTGAAGAATAAATCATTTTTCATATTTGTTTAATTTTATTCAATATATTCTTCGGTTTATATGTCAATACATTGGTTGCCTGTATTACAGCAATCATTGAGATATTACTACACAGTTATACAGATATGAGTTTAGAATAACACAAATGTTTAATGTTTGCAATTTACCCAAAAAACAATGACTACATGAAAACTAAATGCTTTTATTAATTGCCTGAATAGAGGGGAAATGGAAGCTGTCGTTCGGGTCATGTCAGCCACCATCACATGCCGTCAGCGCATCTCTCGCCGGTGCAGTCGATGCCGCAGTCGTTGTATTTGAACGGCTCGTCGAGCGGTGATCTGTACCGAGACTACTGTCATCCCACGGTTTACGTCACGTCGAGTCTCACTCAGCCGTATATAACCCAACAGCAGAAGTATGTGATAGCGCCGAACGCACCACAAAGCGGACCCTTTGCACAAACAGTGGCCTCATTGCCGGCCCCACCGCCGGCTCATCACCACCACAACAGCACGCGCTCTAATGTGGCCCAGACTGTAGGCTATGCGCCCACAACCAGTCATCCACTGCCGGCGCACATCCAAAACATACAACAAACTCCTTCAGCGGTGGCTGCGATGCCGTTGCAGTTCGCGGGTCAGGCGGTGCCTCCCTATGGCTACAACATGTCATCCATAGCTTCAACCAAAGCCCCGTATCAACACTTGTATCAAATATTTGGCGATTAAGCGACTAAACACTAAATCCTATAAATCGTTAAGAGTTTTCTTTATATATTTGTATTTTTTGTTCAATCATTTCAGTCAATGATTCTCTCATTTTATTTACTTATTATTGAATCAAAAATTCTTTTGACACAAAATATGGACAAACGTTTGGTTTGTTTGATAAACACTTATCCGCTCTAAGGATTGGTTTTATATATTTTGAAGCAAATGACAAAAATATCTCAAACCGTATTGTGTTTGATATCAAAACAATTGCTATTATCTCTCACTTCTTGAGTGTGTTCTTAGTCTTAGCTTTTTATATGTATTTAGAGATGAATTTAGTTTTAAAATTCCAGTCATTATTATTATAATTATTAATATTCAAGTCTTTAATTATTATTCCGTTATAATTATTATCACATTTAGTGTGCGTTTAGTTTGTAATTAATATTATTTGTAATTTACACTATTATTTCAATTTAACTCATTCACAGCCATTGGTTAATATTACCAAATCATGTCTTAAAATGTGGCCAATTTGTTTACTACTATATAATTTCACACATCTTTTAATTATAAATTTTCACTTTTTTGCCGTTTTTTTTTTGATTTTCTTATTAATTGATTGAATTATTATTATTATTAGTTTTTATTCGGATAAAGATTTTAAACATAATTTAAAACTAATTTGCAATTTGGATGCAAAAGATATACACAGGAAATATTATAAATTAAATTTCTATTTAATTACTACTAAAACAAAATATTGTTGCAATTTTGTGACGATTTTCAATGAATTGATTATTCAATTAAAAATCTATTACTTAATAAAATTCTTTTCGTTAGAATTATATGAAAACTGAAAGAAATTCTGCTTTTTATCGAAAAATAATTAAATGAAAGGCTTTTTAAAGAAAGGATAAAATCATTGATAAAATTCAATGCAAACATAGATTTATTAAAAAATTGAAAACAGAGTTTATATTAAAATGATTTGAAAATTGAATCCATTCAGTGATGGACTAAATAATTGCTGCTTATAGACAGTGTTGACGGAAAATATATGCTTTTAAAGTATATGTTTTGAGATATAATTGCCTTTTGTGTGATTTTAAAGTTATTTTTTGCCCAAAAAGTAACTTTGTGTTCGGTTTTGATGGACACGACATGAGATCAGTTTTAATGATAGCTTCAAATCGATTACAATCTATTGAATGACCAGATTTTTAATGGTTTACCAAATCTCATAGTAATCTAAATTTTCAATGAAACGAAAACTAAACAAAAACAATATTGAATTTTTCGATAAAAAACACGAATTGAAGCGAATTTTCATGAATACTATAATCGCTTTCAAAATGAAAATCTGTCACAACATATAAATACGTGAAAATATAAGTCTTTAATTAAATTTGAAAATTTATTTTCGTTAAAAACTAATTCAATGATTAAAAAAGAGAAATATTAATAGTTTTTAGAAGTATTTAGTTATACATATGATATATAAAATATATAATAGGCCTCACGTTTCAAATTGAAAACATAAATTATATATATTTCATAAAAACTAAGATTTATAAATGTCTTAAATATAAACATTGATTGCATTTCATATTTAATCCATTTTCGTATACGTTATTAAATGTATATTCAATGATAGTATGATTAGTTTATTATAATAATAACAATATATGTAATGGCATTAAATATTAAACGCATATATAATTAAATTAATAGTTGATTGGTTGAGCCCTTAAATGCCGGCCCAACTCAACTCACTATAAATGGGGGAAAAGCTGACACAAGAATCGGCTCAAAATCACTTCTGTCTGAGCCGTTGACACGACGAGGGTATCGAAGTGTTTGTCCCGATCTGTATATAACATAACAATCATGTTTTTATTGTTCATATGAAAGTTATCTATAGTAGAAATATGTATATCATTATTATATAGCTATCAATGGTATTAAGATATCGATATTTTTCTGTATTATATTATTAGTGAATGCCTTTTGTTTTGTGACACTAATTATCTCTCATTACGTATCGACTATTAATTCTCTGTTAATCTGTTTTTTAATTATTACTGAAAACTCTTTGTTTCCTATAAAACCCATTAAACGAACAATTTTTTTTAATCATTTTTCTCAATAGATTGAGAATTTTGTCTTTAATTTCAATCTCTTTTATTAATTATTGATAAACAGAAACCAGAAAATTAAACTTTTGTCTAAATTTTTGTTTAATAATTTGTAAACATATTTTTTGAACCACTTTTTGTGTAAATATGTGTTTAAAATACAATTTGATTGAAAGACTCGAAAGCACACAACTCTTTGATCTATATTACGACAAGAAAGTAGTTTTCAATATAAATATATATAATTTATAAATATATGGTTTTAATGATTGTAAATACAGTATAATTATTGTTAGTTATTATTATTGATAATTAGTTTGATTTAAACGTCAAACTATATCTCAAAAGAAGGCCCAAAACCAGAGTTAAATAAATGGCAAACATTTTCATCACTTATTCGACATCTAAATCGAAAGTCCGATTGAAAAATGAATTGTCATTTAAAATGTAAATAAATTTTTTGATTGATTCGTTGTTTTAACACATAATTAATTGTAATTTTTGATATTTTCTGAGTTAATAATTAGGTATTTTCAGGACGTTTTCCCCGTTATTATAATAATTATATATTTATTATTAATTGTAGATTTCTTTTAGTGGCGAATGTATTCAAAAGTATCGCCAAATCATTATTTTTTTGATTCAATAATAATTTTGTCGAAACCTTTAATGAACTAATAAATTGTTTTGACAATTGATTAACATTTTATCTTTTATTAAATTACTATTCAATGAATGCATTGAATATAAATCATAAATATAATAATAAAATATACATTTTATTTCCCATAATTACAATTTGAGTCTAAATTTGTTTTAAAATTTACTTAAAAGTTGATAATTACTGAAAATACAAACAAACGGTTGGTTTCGATATAAAATTATTAATGAATTTGAATTCAATGATAGTCTTCGCACATATAATATGTTTAGTGAATATAACTACTCATTACATGTGAACTGAATTAATAAATATTGTGATCATTTTATGCACATATCCTATGCTTACAATTATATATATGTTTTATATTAAATCAATACTGATTTGGTTCACAATTATATACATATAAATATAGAGATAACACAATAAACAAATCAATTTAATTGCAACAAAACTACAATTTAAAGTACATTTTATTTCTCATTCATATAAACAAACAATTATTGATAACTATTCTCTCATTTTTTTTCACTTGTATTACATTTAAACGATTTTCTCATTTTTATTAATTATTATATATTTTTAATTATTAATTCAGTTTATTATTCAATCGATTCTTTTTATTCATAATTAATTAATCAGAAAAATATAAACATTTAAAAATAGTTTAGTTTTGAGTTTTTTTTGGTTAAATTGTTTAAATGTTTAGTGAGAGTAATGTTTGTAATTAATTGTTTGGTTTGAGAGCACAAAAAGGCTCATAATTAACAAAAATAGATACCATATAAATGTCAGGTAATGCTAGTCCGGGTTCACACATGTCTTGTATTAATGATAACGGTTTTGCTTTTTATTTCCAGTAATTTCTTAAACATGTACTCATTTTTATCACACAAAATGCTTTTCGACAAAAAAAAATACAAACAAACAAACGATTGTCACAATTGTTTGAATTCATAATTAATCGCAACTATTATGTAATCTCTAACTATATGTGTGCCTCTCATTATAGATGTATTACTTATAGATTATATCAATTCACGGAATATCTAAATATACTTTATATGTTATATGCTATCCATTTGATCACTATTTTAGACATTAATATTAAATACCCAAAAATCTAATCGTAGTCTTAATTAAACGTATTTATTGTCGGATATTATATGAATAGATGAAAAGCAAGTGTCGGTTCACCAGTGATTAGAAACATCTCTTATATAAAACAATAGTGTTTTAGAAATAAAAAGTACTAATTATTTGTAAAAAAGGTGTTTTCCAAAACTTCTTAATTATAATTATTATAAATGATTAGATTATATAATATTTCAATTGCCTTTCAATTTCAAAATGCCATTCAATTGTAAAGTAAGAAATATATGATTATTATTCAAATATATATATATTGATTACAAACCAATTTTCAAATATCTATATTACTATTGTTTATTGATTCAATGCCTTATGAAATAAATGTTTTAATTATATAATTATAATAATAATTATAAATTTATGTTTAATTCAAATATCGATGTGATTGAAACTTATGCTCGTATACTAAATATATTGCATATATTTTGTGTCTCTTTTAGGGGTATTTCTAGTATTCAGTTATTTGTGATTTTCCACAAAACAATACAAAAACACAAACAATGTATTCATTTCTAAACTTATTGTCACTAATAAGTAGTGAATTAACTCTTAATGTAATTCAACGAATTTATTGATACATAACTATAATATACATCTAATTGTCGACACATTATATAACTATTTCACAAATTATATTCAAATTGTAAATCAAATATTTTTTGGTGTGAATACGAAAACCCCTAAAAACGCTGATAAAGAGATATAATTATAGCTAAATAAGTGATTATTCTGTCCATTGTTTTATCAAACAAAACGCTTTCCAATACAACAAACTCTTTCTCTTCTCTCTTTTGCACACTTATTAAGTCTAACACTACTATTGGAAACCATTATTGGAAACCAGATTTAATAATACAATACAAAATGTGACATAAGTTTAAACAAATAACTATATCTAAAAAGTATTTAATTATTATTATGGCTATTAATAGCATATATTATGTTATTCAATAGCGACACAAATCATTAGAAAATATTGCTTAATAATAATATTTAAATTTAATAATAATTGTGAAAAATTTTGTAAATATAAAATACATTTCAATTCTATAAACAGATTTAAAATATATTATTGTTTTATATTATATATTGAAAAAAAAGTCGAGGAAATTGTGGGACAAAACAAATTTATAAACAAATGATAAATCGGAAGGTTTTCTTATAATTGGAGATAAAATATGAAAATATAATTTCAAATTAAAGGCAAAAATGTTTTCTAACCAAAAAAAGTTTGTGTAATGAAAGTTCGAAACGAATTTTTCAATATTATTGTAATGAATGTAAATATTTTCGACACAAAAATATGACAAAAGTAACAAAATTTTGTGTTTTCGGACAAAAATATTAGTTGTTATGAATTATATGGTTATTATTGAACAAAATAACAGTTAATTTGCAAACAAAAACCATTTGAAGGTTTCATACATTGCTTTAAACGAAAGGTTTTCAAAACTATTAATTAATAATTAATCAAATAATTAAGAAATAGTTTTATTAAAATTTGAATTCATTAATGAATTGATTTGAAAATAGTTTTGAATACACGGCAGGGGTTTAATTGATATCTTGTATTATTGTATTTGATTTATATTTACTTTCAATTATTAAGATAACTACTAAATGGTTGTATAAATGTTTTTATTGCATCCATTAAATGGTACAACAAATCGATATATATTTCAGACTCTATTATACTTATAGTCATTAAATCAATGTTTAAACAACTGAAACACAAATTAATTATAAATTGTATGCCTTTTCGGTATCTAATTATAAATGAAATCACTTATGAAATCGCATTCCTTTTGTTTGATTTTTTGTTAATTAAAATAATGTTTGCTTTAAATGTATGAAAAATTATGATATATTTGTAATTCAAAGCAATTATTCGTAATTTGAATAAAAATTTTGGCGAATTAGAGAGCATTACAAAACTGTTTATCATTATTTCAACCATTGATTTAAATTTATTAAATGAATGTCTATTTAGATATATTTGTAATTCAAAGCAATTATTCGTAATTTGAATAAAAATTTTGGCGAATTAGAGAGCATTACAAAACTGTTTATCATTATTTCAACCATTGATTTAAATTTATTAAATGAATGTCTATTTAAAAAGTTTCCAAAAGTAAGTACTTAGACATTGAATTTATTAATAAATCATAACTGATATAAATTGCGTAAATAAAGAGAGGTTTTGTTAAAAATTTGAATGATTTCAGTGATAAGTAAAACATTTAATTTTTGTGATTAGTATTTCATTTAAGTCAATGTTTTCAGTAATTTCTAACAATTTGTAAGAAGTTTTGTAAAAATGTCGGACAAAATCAACGAATTTGAGGATAAAGTAGTGTTAGTAACAGGTATTATATTTGCAATGATTTTGATATGAATACAAATAATGAAAATTAATTACAATCAATCAATAAAAACTTTTAACATTATATTTTGAACATAATTTGAATGAAACGTGTTTTAAGGGTCGAGTTCAGGAATCGGTGCCTCGACTGCCATCAAGTTTGCGACTCTCAGATATATTTGTAATTCAAAGCAATTATTCGTAATTTGAATAAAAATTTTGGCGAATTAGAGAGCATTACAAAACTGTTTATCATTATTTCAACCATTGATTTAAATTTATTAAATGAATGTCTATTTTAAAAAGTTTCCATCAGTAAGTACTAGACATTGAATTTATTAATAAATCATAACTGATATAAATTTTGCAAATAAAGAGAGGTTTTGTTAAAAATTTGAATGATTTCAGTGATAAATAAAACATTTAATTTTTGTGATTATTATTTCATTTAAGTCAATGTTTTCAGTAATTTCTAACAATTTATAAGAATCTTTGTAAAAATGTCGGACAAAATCAACGAATTTGAGAATAAAGTAGTGTTAGTAACAGGTATTATATTTGCAATTATTTTAATATGAATGCAAATGAAGAAAATTAATTACAATCAATCAATAAAAACTTTTAACATTATATTTTGAACATAATTTGAATGAAACGTGTTTTAAGGGTCGAGTTCAGGAATCGGTGCCTCGACTGCCATCAAGTTTGCGACTCTCGGCGCCAAAGTAGTCATCACCGGAAGAAATAGCCATAAAGTTGCAAATGTGGCGCAAAAATGTCGACAATTGGCAAAATCAGATGACAATGTTTTTCATGAAATTGCGTTCACTTCTGGATGTAATTCTCCTTTTGTTTAATTAGATTCTGGAAGTGTTGGCAAATCTTACGGCTAAAGAAGATATCCGAAGATTAATTGACGAAACAATCGCAACGTTTGGCAGATTAGATGTATTGGTAAACAACGCGGGAATTATTGCCGTCACTGATATTGAAGACAGTGATGTCGATGTGAAAGTGGATCAAATAATGGACACAAATGTGCGATCAGTTGTACAATTGTGTCATTTGTCTGTTCCGTATCTCTTGAAAACTAAAGGAAATATTGTTAGTGTCTCGAGTGTGGCCTCAACTAAACCGGTCCGTAGTTTTAGATTATATTTTTAATTAATTTGATGTAATTTGTTGTTTTTATTACTCTGTTTATAGCATTCGGCACTTTTTGGGTACAGATTTGAATTGATTTGAATTTGAAGATTGAATTAAAACCTTAATTTGATTAGATATTGTATGGCCAAGAGTTGTGTCGATATGATAACCAAATGTCTGGCCATTGATTTAGGTGTGAAAGGGGTTCGCGTGAATGCTGTGAAGTGAGTATCCCTTTAATGATTGCTTTCAACTCTTACTTAAAATGTAATTATATTCAGTCCAGCGGTCATTAAGACAAACATATTTGACGCCGGATTTGGTATAGACTTACAAACAACACAACAACTTATATACAAAGACTGCGAACAGACATATCCTCTGCAAAGACCAGGAGATCCAGAAGAAGTAGCCGAAGCCATCGCATTCTTGGCGTCAGATAAGGCCTCATTCATTACTGGAGCCACACTTGAAGTGGACGGCGGGTCGATGTGGACCTCCAGAGGAGCCAATCCTAACGCTAACTCTAATAATAATCAGTGATTTCTTTAATGATATTAATTATCAAACAAAATAGTTTTTGTTTTACTTTATTTTGAATGTAATGTTACATAACTTATGTTCACTACTTTTAATAATGATTTTTAATTATAACAATTAATAAATTCTAAATATTCCTTGTTGGATTTATTGAATTTTATTAATTTATATATTTAATACATTTATTTTTTCATGTTATTATTTCTTTTAATACATTGGATTTATATTAATTGATTCCGTCATTCAATATAGAAATTTAATACTTGAAAAACTTATTAAACGATTGCAAACTAATAGTCGCGCAAATCTTCTGTAAGAGACGTCAAATACTTGCGTCCTTTGTCTGACTGTAAGCATAATTGGCATACATTTTATGTTAACAATGATTTTACAAAAATAAATTATATTATAGTCTATACTTTAATCCATTTGAGAATCGGCTGGAATTCATTCATCAGAAAATTTTCTCGAAATCGTTTGCTTTCGCCGTTAAATCCAACCAACTTTTGAGTCAAACAAATCAAATATTATTTTAATATCTATAATAATATAGTTTTAATCCCTTACCGAAGCGCAGTTCTGACCACCAATTTGTTAAATAAATATGAAAATAAGTTTTGATTTAATAAATGTATGAATATTAGTAAGACATACCCGCGGATCGACCTATAGTTGAGAATAGGATTCTTGTTATTATATTTTAAATATTTATAATTTATATATTAAATACCTGACACATCTGCCAATGTATATGGTTTTTAGATATGACATAAAAATTAATTATATTTTGTTAAATCAAAACTATTACTAAATCATTGACTAACCATCTGTTGATTTGATGTTTATAATCCCGGAATAGAGAATCTCATGAATGCTTTTTAGTTATATTTTATACATTATAAGAAAATACTATACCTTTCTTCCCTATAAAATAATTATTAAAATGTGATTTAATATTTGTTTAAATAAAAGAAATGCTTTGTAATGTTGAGATATACTGACCAGGTTCATCTAAAATTAAAAAACAGAGAAGAGTGAACAATACAATATATTATGAAATAATTAAATAAAACAATTTGAATGACAGACTGACCCCTCTTTTAAGTTTATTTTGTGGCCAATTATTTGTTGAATCTTTTGAAAAGTCGATTTGTAACTCGTTTTCTAATTTCATAAACCGGTAAATTATTATTTAAAGTTTATAAAACAATAAATTACATAATGCTGTTATTTTTGTTGTTTATTTTATCTTATCAATTATTTTATAAGTTAACAATTTTTATTTGAAAATAATTTTGTTATAAACTATTTATTGCAATAATAGAAAATGTTGAACAAATAATAATATTTCAGAAATTGTGGACAAACTTACCATTATTTGCATTTGTATTACATATGATTAAAATGACGGAAAATAACACAATCAACAGATGATATGGTTTTAATGGAAAATACATAACTTATTGAAAACTAGTGCTAAAACTATAGGAATGTATAGGAAAGTTTTCAATACAAGAATATCTGTTTTTCTAACAGAATATTCTATAAAATAAGAATTGAAACGTCGATCACAAGAATTTCTATAAAACCTCTTTGAGTGAAACGACGGCTTTATTTATATAACTTCTTTTATGACATGTCATCCGCGGACCAAATCATCACAGGATTGATACCTATAGAGTCGTGAGGATTACAATTGGCCTGAAATTGTAATACAGTTGATATATTGCCCACGCCTTACATCAGGTTTTCGTTTACTTCTTTTGCATTTATTTTTATCTGATATTTTAGTTATTGAAAGTATGATATAATCTTAAGTTTTGTTTATTCATAATATATTTCAATTATCACAGAATATTTTATTTATAGATGTAATGGGGGGGAGAGGGGCTCATACTAAGATGGGATTTGTATACTGTATACAGTATTGATGACTGACTGTAAAGATTGTCAGAATTGAGAGACAAATTATTTAATAACATTTGATTTGATTATAAAAGTCAAATATCTTATTAGTTTAAAAAGTATATTATATTTAAAAAATATATATAATTTCTTTCTTGTTTATGGTTTCAGAGACTACAAAACAAAAAAGTTTTTAATTTATTTTTTTTTGATACAAACGATTGTGTAATTCTTGAAGATTACAGTGAGTTTAGTGATGACTTTTGTTATGGCATTTCGTAAATCTATACATATGTGAAAACAATACCTCAATGTATTGAATATCATATTATTATAGAACTAATAAATCTTATTTCCACAAAAGGTATATGAATTTTTAGTTATTTTTTTCAGATCAAATGTCTCTCTCGTCACAAAATTAATTAATTTTAGAATAAACTTATTTGTGTTTTACTGTAAATGTATTGAATGCAATATATGCAATGAACAAATTTGATTTTTATTGGTTGTGACAAATTTTATAAATTTAATCAAAAGTTTATAAAAGTACTCAATGAAATTGTTTACTGTAGTGAAAATAAATAATTTTGTTTTAATTATATTTTAAGAATTTTTATTAATATTCAAAATAAACAAAATTATTGTCAATATAAAGGAAATATTTTGGAAAGCAATCAAATTATGATTTATTAATTTTCTCATTTAGAGTAGTGTTTGAAGGAGTTCTTGGTTTTGATGGTCTTCTGGTCACACGTTTGCTGTCATTCCAGTCGTATTTGTTGTCCACTTTTTCGCCCATTTTTGTGATAATCTTTTCAAACATATCCTTATATTCATCATAATTGGGATCTTCTGTGAACTGAAGCGACCGAACGGTTCGTATATAGATCTCATATTCTTGCGGCAAATTAAGGCATAATTTCTTTGTTTCAATTTTTTGCTTTATTTCTCCAATTTTCTTAAACCTCTTCACAGAGTCTTTGATGTCGAGTCCACTCCAGGGAAGGCTTCCTCTGAGAAACAATATCAACATATGTCCGACCGCTTCCATGTCATCCCTACGGCTCTGCTCTCTATACAGATGTGTATTAATACTCATATATCTTGCCGTACCGTTGAGTCCAACGTTTTCTTTATATGGGATGTGAACACCGTTTCGGTCTTTGTATTCCTTAGACAAACCAAAGTCCACGATATGCAAGAGGTTTGCGCCCGGAGTTTGTGGTAAACCTAATAATATGTTTTCCGGCTTAACGTCTCTATAGATGACACGTTTGCTGTGAATGTATTTAAAGATATCCATCAACTGAATGGCCAAAAGTGAGACCGTTTTTACGCTAAACTTTTGATTGCATTCTTGAAACTTTGTGGCGATATTAGGGCCGAACTGTTCCATCACAAGCGCCCGGTATGTGAGAAATGAGCCAAAGAAGTATGTCTTGGGAATCGCCGAGTGATTGCACTCATACCTCAAGAGCTGATAAATGCGGAACTCGTGGCTTAACTGAGGATTATCTGTCTCTTCGGCCTCTAGTTTGGCGACCAATTCCTTATTTGTGTTCATTTCTTTCACTTTGAATATCGCACAGAAAGAACCCGAAGCCATGTATTTAATCACTTTGTATTTATTATTGGCTATAAACTGTCCGATCAGTTCCTTGTATTCCTCCGCCGATTCTGTCATTTTTATGGGTTAGCAATCATTCAATGGATATTATTTGCCAAATGTGTAAAATCGTTATAAAGTATTAACAATTAATTTTCAAATTCAAATTATATGAAAACAATAGAAAAACTCGCGAATTATTTATAATTCAATTTTTATTTTTCTAAATACTGTTTAATATTGTGTTTTAAATACAAACAAAAAATGGATAAAATTTACAAAAAATAAATTCAAAAAACAAATAAGATTTTGGTTTTATTAAATTGTAAACTATTCAGTGGTCAGCCATTTGTGGTTTTGGGTCTCAAATGACCGCTCAGACCAGAATCCCAAACCCAACTTATCCTTCATTTACTATGTAAATCAAAAATATTTGTAAAGCTCGAACAACGTAAGAACGTAATGTAAATATAAGTAAAAAACTAAATGTATTCTATTGTTGAGTTTAACTGATAATTAGCACTAGTTTTCAAAATTATTTTCTACATTGAAATCAAAATTGTCTTACATTTCAAGTCTTAAAAGATTCCCAAAGATATCATGAATTTTTATAAAGTTTTTGCCGTCAATTCAATTGCGACAGGAATTGTAATTTACAATTCATTTTCAATCAACAAACAGTTTTATCCGTCAGTCCTTTACATAAGTCAATCAAAGCCAAGTCTTGCAGTAAATATGCAATTAGTTTGCAATTAATTTCAGATTAAATTATTTCATAAATTATGTGATATTAGATCTTAGGGTTTGAAGTGATTCTATGGCTCGCATTGTATGCAAAATTATTAACACAAATATTTTTCGGCACATTTTCTGCAACAGAAAGAGAGGTTTGATTATAACAGGAAATAATTGATTTAAAAAATGATATGCTTTTTATATACCTTATGATAGCATTTGTCTGAACGCATTTGGCCCACAGTTATGGACACTTGTATCACATTCACAGTCTTCAACAGATCCGCCGACTATTTGTTTTATTTCAGACTTTTGTGTCTTTTCTTCTTTAAGACAATTCATATGATGTCTGAAATGAGAGTCCAAATGATGGCACGAGTCATACGTTTGCCGCCAGACTTTCACAACAGATTTATGGGTATTTCTGAACAAATAAGTTGTTTTATATTTCATATCATATGAAAAATCAATTTCTATTTCAGCGCTTTTGTTATATTTGGTAGCAATAGATGTCTATCAGATGTCTGTGTCAGTGATAGACATGTATAGATCCGGTCTTTCAATCGAAGTGTTGTATATCTTTGAGGTAAAAATGTTTTTCAATAATTATATTAACGATAAACATCTTATCTCTCATTTACTTTTATCTAAAATAGTATTCAATACTAATTCTGACAATAATTAATGTAATTCTGGAATATATTCTGGAATGCATTGAAAGAAATAGCGGAGAGAATGGATGGGAAGAGAGAGTCGTTTATTCAGATTTTACAAAACTTATCATCTCTTCATACTAATTCTGACAATAATTAATGTAATTCTGGAATATATTCTGGAATGCATTGAAAGAAATAGCGGAGAGAATGGATGGGAAGAGAGAGTCGTTTATTCAGATTTTACAAAACTTATCATCTCTTCCCTCAAATTAGTCGTCCGTTTGTTAATTACAGGGATTTTAGTTTATATGAAGATTTTACCCATTTTTCTCATCAGATCCCTTGTCAACAATTTTAGGTTAGCATTCATAACACAATTTAGTAATAAATGAATTTTGACTACAAATATAAAATAATTAAATATAATCCATATTAAGAGGAGTGAAGAGTTGCTTCCAGAAGGCAGTGGACAGTCGACGAGCACTCTCTCGAATGGACGCCTTCCCGAACCCAAAGGCCGAGGATTTAGTGGAGGACAACATTTGTGCCGTTTGTCGCGACGAAATCAAGACAACAGAATCGGCCAAAAAACTCTTTTGCAGACATATGTTTCATATTATATGTCTCAAGAATTGGTTCCGAAGACATACTAATTCTGACAATAATTAATGTAATTCTGGAATATATTCTGGAATGCATTGAAAGAAATAGCGGAGAGAATGGATGGGAAGAGAGAGTCGTTTATTCAGATTTTACAAAACTTATCATCTCTTCTCTCAAATTAGTCGTCCGTTTGTTAATTACAGGGATTTTAGTTTATATGAAGATTTTGCCCATTTTTCTCATCAGATCCCTTGTCAACAATTTTAGGTTAGCATTCATAACACAATTTAGTAATAATTGAATTTTGACTACAAATATAAAATAATTAAATATAATCCATATTAAGAGGAGTGAAGAGTTGCTTCCAGAAGGCAGTGGACAGTCGACGAGCACTTTCTCGAATGGACGCCTTCCCGAACCCAAAGGCACTCCTAAATCACCTCCTGTTGTAAACACGGCAAACAGCGCTGCTTTAGTTCTGTTGTCTTAGCCGGTTTTTTGAGAAAACGTCTGTATACAAAGTATAATATACAGAGTTCTTAACCAAGGCTTCTGAGCAGACATGTCCCACATGTCGGTCAGATGTGATACACATGAGACAACCCGACCATCAAATACCAGATAATGGTCCGCAAGAAGTGCAGCCCTAAGATAGCAAAGACTGATCATTCATTCAATCGAGTGTTGACTTAGAATTCATGAGAAAAAGTGAGATTAAAATGTTTTCAAAAATCTCAAAATTAGTTCATTTTTGATGTCAATAAAACTCTTTTATAAGAGAATCAGTGATAAGATAATTGATTTATAATTATATAAAAACCGATTGAATAAATAAAAGAGTGAAATCAAAACTGAAGATTACGTCTCTGTGGAGATGTTATCAGAGATCTATTGACAACTACTGACATCATATTGTATAAGAAAATGGTTGACAAAATAGCCATATATTTACTAATTATATTAAATACTCATATAATTTACACAATTAATGGCATTGAATTGAGTTCAGTGTCGGGAGAGTTGCAATTTGAGCGCTTCTGTCACGACAGTCACTACTGTCTGTCGGTTTGGGACAATCGGTCACTGTGTGTGCCATCGCTGCGAAACGTTGAGATCAAAGAATGTCATTGTTTCCCAAATTTCAAATTCAACGAAACCAACAAAACGTGCGAAGCGTTCAGTTGTAAGGATGACAGAGAGTGTCAGGACTGGGATATCAAACGGGTCTGTCGTTCGGGTCATTGTGTTTGCGAACTCACATATGAAGAGCAGTCCAACGATCTCTTCCTTTGCGTTCTGTGGCAGAAGCTCTGCGGCTGCAGAGAGGAGACCGAAACCGACGATAAGCAACAGGGGTAATAACGACAGGAAAGCCAGTAACAAAACTTATATATATTCACAGCCAGTTCTCTAGCTTTAGCCAACAGATATTGAGTTCATTTTACACAATCTTTGAGAAATGGGTCCAACTTTTAATTCAAATTATTTCAATTTATGTGAAAAATTTAAAATTTGAAATACATCTTAATGAAAGAGTGTATATTCACCATGGTGATAATTTGAAATAAGTCTTGTGTTAGAATTGTAAATGTAATTTAAAAAGTAGCTTTAATTATAAGATTAAGTAATTGTTGAGATGTTATATTTTACTTTTTTCATACATGTTGTAAACTTATTGTAAATTACAGTTATATTTTCCGAGTTTTAATTATGTTTTATAATTATATTGAATTTGATTATTATTACTTTACATATAATATATCAATATTTATTAATGTCATATAAAGGGTGTCCCAATGAATTTGAACTATTTGTACCATATAATAGCTTTTATTCTTTAAGCAATTTATTTGTGATAATAAATATTTTTCTTTTTACTAAGTAATAGAAATATAATGGGACTAATTCA